TTTCCCGCCTGTGATGGTTCCACACTTATTTTTCTGAGAGCCCCATAACGACAACTGTGGGGCCCTTGTCGGCGCCTATGAGGGCCCACACCGGTGTCTCTGAGGGTTTCACACCCCCAACTCTGAGTGCATACACCAGTGCCTTTAAAGCCCTATATCGGCGGCTCTGAGGACCCAACCAACACCTGCGCATCTAAAGGCCACCCACTGTTGACTTTTGAGGGCCCCACACCGGTGACTCTGAGGGCCCCACCTGCATCTGACAGTACCATGACGGTCTCTAAGGACCCCACAGGACTTCTGCCGGCCTAAGGACCCCTTGCCGGTCACTGAGACCCCCTGCCGGCTTGTAGAGAGTTCGCGTCAGCAGCTCTAAAGGCCTCACACCCGTCTGTAACGGCTCCACACCAGCGTCTATGAGGGCCCACAGCAACGCCTGTAAGGACCCTCATCGGCGCCTCTGAGAGAATCATACTAGCACCTCTGAGCGCCCACACCGGCACCTGCATGGCGGCCCCCGCGGTGCCTCTAAAGGCCCCTTACCGGCGGTTCTGAGGGCACTACGCCGGTGATTCTGAGGGTGCTACCGATAACCGATAACTACCGGCACCACAGAAGCCCTTAGTGTCGCTGAGCTTTAATCCCATACCGGCCCTCCGAGGGCGCCACGTCAGTGCACTCATTGCCCCACACCCCTCCATCACACACGGAGCGGGTAGGTAAACTGTGTTATACCTATAGCAACGATTTTACCACCGTTTTACGTTATGTAATTTCTCAAAGTTGACTCAAGCTGGTGCAGCATAAAATCTGGCCTGCTAAACTTATGGCCAAGGTCAGACCCAAATCAAAGCGGGATGACAATAGCAGATGTTGTCAAATCGATTCTGTATCAGCAGAAACCATTCAGATGGCAAGGAAAATGCCGTGTGTTGATGTTTAGCTGTATAAAGGAAACCAGAAGGCAAGAAGTCCGGAAAAGGGAGGAAAGATCTTTTCTCGCTGCCTCAATGTTGAGGGGGCGCCGCCCCCTCGGCTCCCAAGTTGGGGGGGCAAGCGCCCCCGCTGCCCCCCCTGTTCCCGGGTCTATGTACGCTTTTCTGAAAACGTCTGCGTTTGGCCTCCTACGGGCCCGGCCGGCCGGCCCCGATTGGTGATCCACCAGTGACGTCACTGGTAGTGTTAAGCTGATTGGCGAATAATACATGGGGAGAACCGGGACGACATCCCCCTGGATTATGATCACTCCATTTCAAGTTCAATATTCGGATTCAGACAGAACAAACGTGAAATATCGCACTTCCTGCCAAAAACGAAATGTAGGTATAAGCAAGCTCCTTTCCATAATTTTTTTCCTCCAAAATTTCGACCTATCCCAGGCCGATTGTCTCAAAACTGCAGAATATTCCAAATTTGATTCCTATGATGATTTATATTAAAACTGATTGAACCTATCCTCACTGTGTGGATCACGGTCATCAGTTCTCTATATACCGTGACGGTCATAGAATCTATATATGGCCTTGCATTGCATAGAATACTAGTGTGGATGGTTGGATAGCCCGCAATCGCATACGGTCTAAAATTATACATATATAACGCACGTGTTTCGATTGTGTGGCATGCTTATTTGTTCAGTGCCTTATTTACAAAATGGTTTTATGACGTAATTTTTAGGTCTGATCTCTATTGGCCGGCTAGTTTACAGAATTACGTAACAAGCAGCAAAAAGAAAATGAGTAAAAGCACTAAAATCACAGCCGCAATTTTAGATCTATGGTATTTGCGAATCCCCATTCATCGGGCCTTCCATAATTCGCAGTTAGGGGAGAGATGTCATATTGCGCCACCTTAAAGGGACCCTCCCACCTTCAAAAAAGTTAATGAATTGGCATGAAAGTGATGTCGCTCGGTTCAGAAAGAGCAAAAACGAATATCTACCAAATTTCATCGAAAAATATTCACCGGTTTTCAAGATATTAGACTTTTACTTTTGTTTACTTTTTGGGATCTCCGCTGTTCCTAGCGACTTTATTTGAAAGTGCGGCATTTGTTGCGCGCAAAGCAGCATATACCACCGCGTGCTACAAAACGTTCTAGTCAAACATTTAACGGACGTTCGAAAGCCTGATGACGTCATCAGATTCCCGTACTGGTTAAAGGGACCCTGCCACCTTCAAAAAAGTTTATGAATTGGCATGAAAGTGGTGTCCCTCGGTTCAGAAAGAGCGAAAACGAATATCTACCAAATTTCACCGAAAAATATTCACCGGTTTTCAAGATATTAGACTTTTACTTTTGTTTACTTTTTTGAGATCTCCGTTGTTTCTAGCGACTTTATTTTAGAAGTGCGGCGTTTGCGGCAGATGTTGCGCGCAAATAGCATATACCACCGCGTGCTACAAAACGTTTTAGTCAAACATTAAAAAATCGTTAGCTATTTGCGCTGACGTCACACATTCAGAGGGGTATTCCTAAGCATTAGCCCCTCTGAATCAAAATGCTGCAATTTTGAAATTCAATATTTCCGATTTAAGGCATTTCTCGATGTTGTGAGTGCCGAAACCGGTGATTGTGAGCCAGGGACCCCATTTTGGCTATCTCAACTCAAATCTAATGTTAAGGTGGGAGGGTCCCTTTAAGAGATAGGGACCACGCTGGTCCCACCCTGCAAGTAAAGGGAAGAAATTTCTTTAACACCATAAAGCTGTGAGGGTTGCGACCAGGATAAATGGTGGTTTCTGAGCCTGGCCGCAAACTTGGCTATCTCAACTCAAAACTAATGTTAAGGTGGGAGGGTCCCTTTAACCCGCGCGGGGCTGGGGGGGGGGGGTAAATTTTACCCCCCTCGCGAATTTTTGCGATATCTCAAAAACGGCGGCGCGCAGCGCCGCCAAACTTTCAGTACCTTTTCTTACATCAATTTGACACGTTCCCTGAAAATTTGAGCGAAATCCGTCGGAAAATTTTTGAGAAATTGACGTTTTAGTGACGTCATGTTCGCCATTTTCGCCTCAAAAACGGCAAAAGTTCAAAGGCCGCTAACATCTTCATTTTTAAAGGAATCAAGACGTAACAAAAAGGTTATGCGTAATTTTACTTTGTCTATCAAATGGCTATCTCGGTTTTTTGAAAATTTTGGATTTTGGCCTAATTTTTTTTTTCAAAAAACTGACTTTTTTGGGAAAATCATTATAAAATCCAAAATTTTGAGTCTATCGAAAAAACCGGAATATATGTCAGAGAAGTGGTCTATGTGCACCTACATACCAAATTTTAGAAGAATCGGTTCAAAAATGTGGGAGTTATTCAAAATTGTATGACGTCACGACACACAATTTTTTTGAAAAAATGACTTTTTTGGAAGTTCTAGACCTCGTACGGAAACAAAAATAGCACCATTCGATTCGCCGTGAAAAACTGCATCAGATAGACACCTTTTTAGGCCTTAACAACCAACTTCAAAATTTGACCTCACTTGACCTGACCTTGACCTGACCTCGACCTGAAATTCATCCAGAGGTGGTCCATATCACTCATTGAGTGTGCCTATTGAATTCTATGAGTAAAATGACCCATAAAACATGTGTCGCACATGCCCTTTTCTATATTTTGTTTTTTGGTGACCTGACCTGACCTGACCTGACCTTGACCTTGACCTCTGAATGATATTGTATGCAACGAATATTGTCTTGGTAGCCTAAGAACACGTTTTGGGCGATCAGTCTCAGTCCATGACTCCATTCTTCGGCAACTACGGTGCAAGGCCGATACTGTAGAAACTTGCAATTTGTACCCTTGACCTGACCTTGACCTTGACCTCAAACTTTAAATTAAGTACATGTTTTTAGTAGTTCGTGATGAGAGCTTTCGATTGGCGTTTGAATTTTCCACATCGGACCATTAGTTCGGGAGATAACAGGGGGGTAAAATTTACCCCCCCCCAGCCCCGCGCGTTCGGCTGGAGACCCCAGCCCCGCGCGGGTTAAAGGGAGCCAGTATTAGCGTCGCCACGGGGGGGCAAGCGGGGCAGCTTGCCCCCCCCCCCCCAACCTCGGACCGGGCACCCCCTGAGATCGATACAGATCCGATGAGATTTTGGAGTCGGGGAAAAATGGGGGTACCTTTCTGAGAATGCCTGTGAGGTCAGACTCTGTTGGAGCGTGCAGTTCAAACCAAAGTCAGAGTCGCAGTCGCCAAAATCTTCAAGACCCCGACTCCAGACCCGGAAATGTCAATGCCATGATTCATGCCATGTTCCTAAGTTGGTTCTGTATTACATTTTGTAGCTGATTTTCATAAATTTTGGAGTGCTGACACATAATTTTCGTTCAAAGCGTGACACGAAATCTTCGGGGCCTTTCTCAACTCTCGTCAAATGTCTGCGACAGGCACAAGTACCGTTCAAGTGCCGCAGGGCTCATGAGCCTGCTTTTCACACAGGCTCCTAAGGAGCTCCACTGAGCTCTAAGAAGCTTTCGGAGGGCCCGAACCGGCCTCTGAGAGTCCCACCCACTGGTGTCCATGTTCTCTAGAGGGCCCATACAGGGATCTTTGAGGACATTATACATACGTAGACCTCTGAAGGGCCACACGAATCTTTGAGGATGCCTTCGGAAATTTCTGAAAACCTCAACTGGCCTATGATAGTTCAGCCGAACTTTTGAGGCGACAGACTTTACTAACCCCAACCCGGCATCTGAGGGGTCACAACTCACGGGCCGCAACACATGTTTCTTATGTCCCTACCAACGTAGGGTCCTTAAGGATTCGACACAGACCCCGACGGTTCACACTGTTATTCGAGGGCTCCAGGCTCACCCTGGGCCTAGTCTCTTAGCGCCCACCGCCCACACTGGCTTCTGAAAGCTCGTGTACCCTAAAGGGCTTTCCGGGCCCACCTTAGGCTCGGAAAGCCCTAAAGCACCACATACACGTAAATGTTTGGGGTGACCCACGCCGATCTCCGGGATCCTAAGCAGGCTTCTGAGAGTCCACACTGACCCTGAGTGGCCTGAAATGGCCTGGAAGTCGCAATCCTATCTCCTTGCCTATCTCTAAGGGATCCCTTGCCGCTATGCCGTGCCCGTGCGTAACTTTTGGTTCCGTTAAATACTTTTGGTCGCGTTTGCAGCGCTTCCCTTCACTCGAAAAACCAGAAACTTTTTGTTCACACTCGAGTGAACAAAACACTTCTCACTGCAGCAAGGATGAATGATGTACTTCCGATTCACACTTCCGACATTCTCTCTCAGTCTCCGCCGAATGCCCAATTCTTAGCTACAATCGGCGGCTGGGATAAGCCCTATGCATTTCACGTAAAACCTCGGCATGCATGCGTGAATGGAGGTTTTAGCGAGGTGATCCGATTCAAATGGAGCGTTTTTCACCTTCTTCTGGGTAATGATCATGAGCGACGAGGGTCTACACAGGGGCCCTCTGCAGTGCGTCGGCAATCGCAGCCACTGTGATTCTAACGGTCGTTTTGTCCAGAAATTTCAAAATTTTGATTTTTTTTTGTAAAAAAAAATACATGCTATAGCTAGAAGGAAAACTTTGTCACCATCGGATTCCTCGCACCATTGCGCGTCGAATGATATGTAAAACGAGTGAGTAACGGCTGGGGAAAGGCAAGATTTAACACAAAACTTGATTTTGCCCCCCCCCCCCAACCGAAAATGTCTGGCGACGCCTATGGGAGCCACCTTCAAAAAAGTTTATGAATTGGCATGAAAGTGATGTCGCTCGGTTCAGAAAGAGCGAAAACTAATATCTACCAAATTTCACCGAAAAATATTCACCGGTTTTCAACATATTAGACTTTTACTATTGTTTACTTTTTGGGATCTCCGCTGTTCCTAGCGACTTTATTTGGAAGCAATAATTTGGCAGCTGAAAGTGCGGCACTTGTTGCGCGCAAAGCAGCATATACCACCGCGTGCTACAAAACGTTTTAGTCAAACATTTAAAAATCGTTAGATATTTGCCTTGACGTCACACATTCAGAGGGGTACCTATTCCTATGCATTAGCCCCTCTGAATCAAAATACCACAATTTTGAAATTCAATATTTCCGATTTAAGGCATTTCTCGATGTTGTGAGTGCCGAAACCGGTAATTGTGAGCCAGGGACCCCGCTTTGGCTATCTCAACTCAAATCTAAGGGAGGATCTAAGGGATCTATCTTAGGGATCTATCTAAGGGAGGGTCCCTTTAACCCTCGCCCTGGCAGGGGGGGGGGGGTCGATGCGACCCCCCCTAAGATGTTTCGAAGATAGCGTAAAAACGTTGGCGCGCAGCGCCGCCAAATTTGGCACAGCTTATGGGGCAACCCTTTTACATATGACCTGAAAATTTCAGGTCCGGGTGACCTTGGGTCAGGTTACCAGGTCAGAAAAACCGGTACAAGGTCATGGTCAAATTTCAATTTTATTTTTGCACCTGTCCAACTCACAGTTTTGGACTGATTTCCTTCAAACTTTCAGGATGTGCTAAGTTCACCGAGTTATATAACATATAGTTCGGGTTTTTTGAGGTCATTGACCTGAGGTCAGTTAGAGGTCATTACGTCGTAATGTTAAGCCTATGGGAAAATACTAAATTCGGAAAATACTGGAGATATCCGCTTGGTTCTATCACTTTTGTGCTTTGAAACCACAGTACTTAACAGCAGGTCACTTGGTGCTTCTTTGTTTGGTGTACTTATCCATGGGTCAGGTCAAATGAGGTCAACTGAGGTCAAATGACGTTTTTGCCAATAACTTGGCACATAATGACGCTAGAGCTTAAAAAATGGTATCATTGTGTTCCTGGTGATCAGCCGAATCGAATGATATGCGATATGATGCAATTTGGTTAACTTGAACTTAATTTATTAATTTAAGTTTACTTAAAATTTAAGAAAAACTTTAAGTACAATTAAGCAAACTAAAAAGTATATCATTCGACGCGCCTTGACGTGCTGAGTTCACTGGTGCTTTTCTTTTTGCTCTATCTTAGTTAGATCAAAAGTTATAAGCGAAAAACGTTTGGCCTGTTTTTAGCGAAATTTTTACATTTATACCCCCCAAAACCCCCCTAAATATTGACCTAGAGCAACCAAATTTGCACAGGGGCGAGAACTCCAGGAGGCCCACCTACCTAACAAATTTGGTGTTTCTAAGTGCCATAGGAGCCAATCGCGAGGGGGGGGTCGCATCGACCCCCCCCCCCCCCCTGCCAGGCCGTGTTATGAAAAATGCCCTGCCAGGGCGAGGGTTAAGGATATCGGCCTATTGCGGCTAAAGTTGACCAGCTGTCATGCTTGATGATATCTCAAATTGTACCTCAGTTGTTTTGGCATCAAATAACAACTCCTAATCCAGAATTGGAGGATCAAAAGCATGCGATAGCATGCTTTTGCATCCGGAAATTCCCATTGGTGGGTCGCTGAAAAAAGTTCGGCTGAACCTGTTTGTCAGTGAGTATGTGAGTGAGTTTGTCCAAACTTTTTTGGACCTGGAGTCAAAATGGGTGGACCAATCGGGACGAAAGTGGGACCGTTTGATTCGTCTCCGGCGAGGTAAACTTTTGGTGCTGGCCTCGGTTCGCTCGGTGCTTCGTGGCACAAGCTATTCCGCTTCAAAGTTTCGGTGACACGAAATTTTTTGTCAAGGCTACAGGTCTACAGGTCTAATTGAGCTAGAGCCTCACGAAAGAAACGATCGTGTCCGTCGTTACGAAATGCAGCAATTGGTCTCCGATTTTAAGGACTAGGGTCAGCCCGCAGCCGATGACTTCTGAGGTCAGGTCAAGTGGCCCAAGGCACAGGCTCGGTTTTTGGTAAATAACTTCACTAAAAATGATCGCAGATCCGTGATTTTAGCAGCATTGTGTTTGTCTAGCTCAGGCGTGTCGAATGGTACACTTTTTCTTCGGGTGAGATCAACTTAAGGTGTTAACCTCGGGTCAAGGTCAGGTCACAGCCCGTCAGGTCACGAAGCTGGTCAAAGGAGGTCATATTGCATATCAATTGATTCGGCAGGTCTTTCCATGTCCATTAGTGGCTTTATTGACTCGGTAGCTTTAGTTGATCGGGAGTTATTGACGAAAAACTGTAAGCCTTAGCCCTTAACCCGCGCCCTGGTGGGGTCTGTTTATAACGCGACCTGGTGGGGGGGGGGCTATTTTTTGCCCCCCCTCGTATCTCCGAAACTACTGGACGGATCCGCAAAATTCAAACGGCGTTCGAAAGGCCTATCAAATTTGTCGAAGGAAACCAAATTTCATAGACCTCGGGGTCACCGATGACGTCACAGGTCAGGTCAAAGATGAAATGTTTCACCGTTCACGGGTCTTCTAGGGAATGCGCTATAACACCGAGGAAAACGCATTTTGTCTAGAATCAGCGATAGGGCGTCAGTTGCCTAGTAGATATGTTGCTATTAGAGGTTACTGACAATACCAGGTCACGTCACAGGTCAGGTCACCAAGGGTCACAGGTCAGGTCACATGAGCCCAACTTTACTAAGGTTGTGTGATGCATGTTTTATGGCCAATTTTTCATTTCCAACTCAATGGTGTTGGTTATAAGACTATCAGGTACCGCTTAGGTCACTTTCTGGTGAAGTTCAGGTCAAGGTCAGGTCAAGGTCAGGCCAAAAAAGGTCAAATTTTAAAGTTGATAGTTTTGCATAAAATGGGTATTGATTCGATGCAGCTCGTCACGGGGAGTCTAATGGTGGTCTTTGTTTTGCGCTACGGGGTCTAGAATTGCTAAAAATTGAGTTTGAAAATTTGACGTCATCAATTTTGAACAGTTTTTACGCTATAACTTCGCCAAAAAAAGAGGTATCAATCTCAAATTTGGTATGTGGATGGAAGGTGGTAGGGGCTATCACATATATTCCGGTTTTTGCGAAATTCAAAAAACTTTTTGGATTTTTCGATCATTATATCCAAAAAAAATATTTTTTGATTTTTGGGGGTCAAAATCCAAAAATTTCAAAAATCCGAGATAGCAGTTTTGTAGCCCTGTCAATTCTACAGCTTTTATGTTTTTATCATTTTTCTGTATTTGCAAAGCTATAGGCCTGACAGCTCTTCCCGCGAAACCTTTTTTTGGGTCGAAAACGGCAGAACATGACGTCACTCTGACGTCATTTCCGGCCAACCTATCATAGCCTTTTGAAAAATTTTTGGTCACCATATGTAAAATTGATGTCCGGGAAGGTACTGAAAGTTTGGTGACGATCGGCGCAGCGGTTCTGGAGATATATCGAAAAGTCTGGAGGGGGGGCAAAAAATAGCCCCCCCCCCACCAGGTCGCCGGTTAACCCGCGCCCCGTAGGGCTATCGGCATTCGGCGGACCCTACCACCCATAGGGGGGGGGGGGGAGTTTCGGCCCCCCTAAGATCTCGGAAATTTACCGGCCGATTTTCAAAATTCAAACGGCGTTCGATAGCCCCACCGGGGAACTACCTTGTGACCAAATTTCATTTACCAAGGTCAAACCAATGACGTTACAGGTCTGGTCAAAGGTCGGATTTTCACCGTTCAAAGGCATTTCAAGAAATGTGTTGTGAAATAGAGTAAATTAGTAAGTTATTGAAAACCATCGATGGTACATTGTTCGTCAAACACATACTTCGCTATCTGAGGTCACTGATACCAGGTCAGGTCACAGAGGTCAGGTCACTGGGGGTCACCTGGGGGTCACAATATGAAAGTGTCGTGTGATACATGTTTTATGGTCCATTTTACATGACAAATGCGATTATATGGGTCAGGCAGCCTTTGGGGCCAGCTTAAGTCACGTTTTGGTGAAGGTCAGGTCAACGTCAGGTCAAATTAGGAAAAATTACAAAGTTGATATTTTTGCATAAGATGGGTACGTATCGATTCGATGCAGCTCGTCACGGGGAGTCTAATGGTGGTCTTTGCTTACGTCTTTGTTTCTTGCTCTACGTGGTCTAAAATTGCCAAAAATTGAGTTTGAAAATTTAACATCATCATTTTTGAACAGTTTTTTTCGCTATAACTTGGCCAAAAAAACAAGATATTGATCTGAAATTTGGTATGTAAATAAAAGACGGTAGGTATTATCACATATATTCCGGTTTTTTCGAAACTCAAAAGAACTTCTTGGATTTTTTGGCAAATATATCCAAAAAATTGCTGTTTTGATTTTTGAGGGTCAAAACTCAAAAATTTAAAAAATCCTAGATGGCAGTTTTGTAGCCCTGTCAATTCTACACCTTTTATGTTTTTTAATCATTTTTCTGTATCTTCAAAGCTGTAGGCCTGACAGCTTTTCTCGCGAAGGTCTTTTTTTTCGGTCGAAAATGGCAGAACATGACGTCATTCTGACGTCATTTGTGGCCAACCAATCATAGCCTCTGGAAAATTTTTGGTCACAATGTGTAACATTGATGCCCGGAGGGGTCCTGAAAGTTTGGTGGCGATATCTCCAGCCGTTTAGGAGATATCGACGGAAAAAGACAGGGGGCCGTTTCGCCCCCCCCCCCTACGGGGCGCGGGTTAACCTCGCCCGCACATGCCATTTTCCCATCCGACCTAGCCCTCGCCCATGTAGGGGGGGGGGGGTTGGTGCAACCCCCCTGATGTTTTTCTTAGCTACACGCCGAACCGTTTCAAATAGCCTGCTCAAATTTTCAGTACCCTTTGGGGCATCCTTTGCGCAACTTTTGGTAAAAAAAGATTGTCAAGGTCATGTCAGGTCACGGAGTTATGACGTCATAAAGGGAACAACCTCCGGCCAGATTTACGCTAATTGGAGATTGCTTCACATTGGTATAAATGCCGACTGACCTGACACACTGATGGATTGTTTTAGAATCACAACTGGCTGATTTGACATTAGCACAATGTCCGTTGATATTTTGAAGGTTACTAAAGGTCAAGGTAAGGTCAGTGACCTCGGTTGACCTGTAATGACTTCTTGCACTTGTAATGCCTTTTCGGGGTATTTTGATGCCCTGAATTCGAATTTGCTATCCATTTCAGGCATCGTCGGTTGTTTCTTGTAGTTCAGTTTGGGTCAGGGTCAGGTCAGTGACGTCACACGCCTGACGTGACCCAATGCACAAATGACCTTGCAGACTTCCGATGCTCCCAACGCATCATTTTTAGAGTTATGACATCGAAATATACACCAAACGATAGAGAATTGATCAAGGATCACGATAGTGAAGGTTTCAAGTCGATATCTCTTACCGTTTTGCCGCAATCGGCGCGGAAATCTGAAAAAGTTCGATTTTTTTTCCGAAAATTTGACCTTTGACCGGTCATAAGTAGGTCAAATGTTGACCTAGGACCAAAAATATGCCACCAATCGCGAGATCTCGTTGAGAGCAATCCGATGGTCTTTTCCGCTAAGCTCTACGACGCTCCGTTTTCAAACGCCAGGGGGGGTCGCACCAACCCCCCCCCCCCTGCATGGGCGAAGGTGGCAAAACACCGTTTACGGGCGAGGGCTAGAACGCACATGAGGGGGGGGGGTTGCCACCCCCGCGCTATTTCGTTCCTGTTGGAGATAGAGCTTCGCGGTAAAGACCAAAAAGATTCCTTGGGAAGAGACGAATCCAATGATACCCAGTTTACCTTCTCAGGTCAGTCATTGAACTTCCAGGACAGGTCAAACTAAAAAATGTTGCTGTTTTGGGTCACCGTTGGATATCAAGTGCACTGCTTAACATATACCGATGACGATGCCGTTTTCTGGTGCCAAGCCAGCTAGAACCTCTTTGTCACACTACCCGACCAGATTTTTGCTGCTGAGGTCATTTCAGGTCAAGTTACGTCTAGGTCAATGATATGTGTTTGTATGTCTGTGTGTGTCTGTGTGTATACTGATGTGTGCACCGAGTGTTTATGTGTCCATATTACATGAAATCATGATCTGAGAAGCTTTTACCAAAAATGCAGTCAAAAAACTTCACGAAAAGTAAATTCAGCTTGCCTAAAACGCAATTATTTTAGATGACCTAGGTTGACCTTGACCCTGACCTTGACAACTGTACATCGTCGAACAACATGATCCATGATAGGTGGGAGTGAGACTGGCAAAAAAGGCCGAAATCAAGGTGTCAAAAGCTCACAAGGCCCATAGCCAACGCAAGATGTTGAGAATTGGTCATTTGGGTCATGACATGACCTGAAAAACAAGGTCATATCTCCGAAACCAAAAACCACAGAAACGTGAAATTTTCAGTGGCCTTCAAGAAAGGATGGAGGAGCAGCTATACGAAAAATCAGGCTTCTAGCTCTAAAAATGTTTAGTGCAGAGCAGAAAGACTACCTGGGGGGATGGCAACCCCCCCCCCCCATGTGCGGGCGAGGGTTAAGTGATAAATGACGTCACGCAAGATCAACAAAGCAAAAGAGAAGCATCAGACCTTGCAAGGAGCGCATAAAATCACGATTCCGTGAGCTTGAGAATTTGAGATAGTTGCAGATCATTTCCGGACCAAACTAGCAATTTTCATATTACCCTGACTTTTAATGGTGAGAGACCGACCTGATCTCAGGTGATCCTTCAGAAAACCCGAGATATAATTTATACAAGTTGTGGAGACCTCTCGATGATACTATAAGGTCCTGTAAGTTTCATCTCCCTATGAATGCTCTGCACTGAGGGTGTTGCGAAGTTGGAACATTTTAGGACTGTGCACAGGTTCATTTATGACGTTATAGATCAGTGACCTGACTTGACTTGAAAATGCGGTTGGCAAAAAAAAAAAATCTGACTTGAATCAAAGGCCAGGCACGTTAATTTCAGCGCTTTATCGCCTGCGTACTCCTAGCTAACGTAAAAAAAAACTTAAGGGGGCGGTATCCGCCCCCTTTCCCCTCAGCCGCGAGGGTCAACAAAACGGTGAGGTGCTATGCGTGCAGCTACTCATGCATTAGCTTTT